AGTTCAATCCCCAGACAGGGAGCTGATCCACATGGCACAGCAGATCTGCCTCTCCTGTTTCGCCTGCTGCTCCCCTCAGCAGTTTATTTCAGTCAGTGTGCCTGTTCTGTTCCCCACTCTCTCTCTGGTGAGTCTTCTCACCTCCACACCGTAGGCCTAAACCTCAGCTCTTACATGAATAAATAAATCTTTAAAAAAACAAAACTCAGCCTATGCATTTGCATCTCCTCCAAGAAGTCTTTAATGAACCTCTCCAATCTGGAATACATACCCTTCTTCTATCCTAAAAGCTTTCTATTCAGGTCTGTGCCATGGTACTTATCAAATATAGCAGAGTTATAATTATTCATCAGTCTTTTCCAATGAACAATGAACTTGAGGCAGGGGCCCTATCTATTACATTTTTACTTTCAGTGCTTTGTGGAGCATCTGAAAAAAAAATTCCCAAATACTCAATAAATGCTCACAGAAAAGGTAGCAAAGTAAAGATATTGTTTCATCCTCCCAACATTACCATCACTTAAAACAATGAAGGAAACATAACTTATTCAAAAATAATAACATTCAAATCAATACAGAATTATGCACCTGAGACCAAAGAATACATTGTCACTCTGGTAATAACTGAAGTAAGGAGGCAATGAGAAGAAAGGACTGGAAAGTGATGTGGTTCTTTTACAGGCTACCAAGACAGTTTCAGTAGTGGCAATCGTTTTATTTGAAAAAGCACTTGTCTATCAGGGTAAATGCTATGTAACTGGCTGGGTAAAAATGTAGTCAATAGGGGATTTAATAAATATTTAAGAATAAACAATAATGGGATACTGAGCAGATTCAACTGCATAGTCTAGCTTTCAATTGTTGGTATACCTTACCCCATTTTCTATGGAAGCATATCTGAACACCAGTATGGCTAAGACTGGATTAAGCAAAATTGAAGACAGAAATGCAAGAGCAAAAATATCACTGCCACCTTCTAAAGAAACAAATTTTAACAGAAGCAAGCAGGTGAATATTAAGGAGGTACAAGTACTCCCTGGACATTCCACAAATACTGTCTTCTTCTTTTGCATCTTTTGGCTACTTTGTATGACACAAAAAGGCCATACCAAGTTTAAATAACTGTGCTGCTCACTTGCACATCAACAAAGCTTATACCTGCCTGCCTCTTCCACTCCTTTCTCCTAGATGGGTAGGAAAAGAACTTGCATGCTGGTGAATGAGGAAGATGGGTGAGATGAGAATGAAATCTCAAATAAAAGCCAAGCTGGTATAAGCTGTCTTGCAGGCTGTTAAATGCAGTTTTATCAAGAGCCATATTTTGATGTTCATATGATTTAAATTAATGGAATTCACACTTTTTAAAACATGCAACTAAAAAACTTTCAGAACTGGGGAAAATTAATATTAAATGTAATGTTTATAAATGATCCACCTATAATTTTCTAGTTAATCATAGCCTAGATAAGACTTCATGACCTTCTACAATTAAGAAGTAATATTTAATATACAAGCCAAATCATATCAAAATGGTAATTTGAAAAAATGAATATCACTATCAAATATGAACTTTTAAAATAAAAATGAGAACCTCTGCATATGGGTTATGTTAGTTATATTGTGATGATGTACCATTATCATTGATCAGCACATTAACAGATACAAACTCAGCTTACTGAGGTACAAGAAAAAGCCCTACTGAGTTCACCAATGGACTTTAATGATGAGTCAAGGGTGATGTGTTGTTGGGAGTTTTATGGGCATTATACCTGAGGGGAGAAGTCAAATGCTGTACAAAAATGAACAGTGTAAGAAAATAAAGCCACAATGCTTAAAAAAAAAAAAGCAAAATACAAGGCCCTAGTACATGTCAAAGGAATTTTTTTAAAAATTACAGCAGGTGTGGGTGCAAATAGCTCCTTCGAAAAATAAGTTCACTTTCAAATGCTATTAATGAAGATTAATACATTCTCTTCAAGTGTCAATAGAAAAAGCATTTCAAGGAACTTAAGCTTACAACTCTGTTCAACTAGGGATATAGCCCTTACCACATGGCAATTCTGGGACTCGTGTAAGAAAACAAATTTCACTCTATGTCATTTTAAGAAAATGGGCTCTCACATTTAACAAAAATACAAAGTCTGCCAAAATTTGAGCAGAGAACATTTTAGAAGAAGAAAATGCAATATGGAAGAAAAGGAAAAAAACAAAGCAAAAATAAAAGGAGCCCTTGATTTTTCCCTCCTGGGGTTATTTGCTTTCATCTCTGCATTTGCCAAAGCTTAGCGGACATCGTCCTAGGAGATCAGACATAGCTCCCCTGACACATGGCACCTGGGTTCAATGTGGAGCAGCCTGTCTTAGGAGTAAAGAAACTAGGAGGCTATGCTCCCTGAACTACACAGTATGTGAGCCACTGGCAAACCAGTAAAATTTGAGAAGAAACTAAGGGGATCCTGTAAGAATACAGGAAAGATATCAAAGAATGTTTTCCTTTGGGAGTTTTCCCTTGTGAGGTCTGTATTTTATTTTTGTAAGAGTATGATTCCCAAACAATTTTTCTTTTCACTTTAAGAAATCAAAACAACAGAAGCAGAATTGTGCCAAAAGACAGATAAATTTTGGATCTGAGACAGATAGTAAGAATAATGTTCTTAGCTTCCCCTATTTAAGATACTTCAAATAAACATTTGTAGATTACCTTAGTAAATTCAATTAAATACACAGAAGTAAAATCATCAGTAAAATCAGAAGACACAACTATATAAAAATATGTAAAGAAGAGAATAGCACAGGAAGGAATGAAAGGTAGACTGCCTCAGAGGAATCGGCATAAAAGCAGTTCCTTCATACCTTAAGCCACTTAAAGCCCAAGTGACTGGTCTCATGCATTATATCACTCAACAGCTTCAGATAGGCAGTGAGTGGCACAATGGTGGAAAACAAGATAAAGAGGAGAATAAGAAACAAGCATGCAATTAACTGCAAATTATTTATAGCCACTTTGGAAGACTGGCAGTTTCTTACGAAGTTAAATATAGTCTTACCATACAACTCAGCAAAAACACTCGTAAGTATTAAACATAAAATGTATTATAAAAAACCTGCACATCAATGATTATATATATATATATATATATATATATATAACTATATATATAATTATTCATAATTAATCATAACTGGAAGCAATCAATATGTTCTTCAGTAGGTGAAGGAATAAACAAAACTAGCACAAACATACAATGGACTGTTATTCAGAGATACAACAAAGGAACCATCAGGCCACAAAAGACAGAAGAACTGAAAATGCAGCGGCTAAATCAAAGTAATTCAATCACATATACTGTACGATTCCAACTATTTGGAATTCTGGAAAAGGCAAAACTAGAAACAGGAAAAATTTAGGAACTGGGGAGATAGATGAGGGATAAAGAACTGGAGCAGAGCACGTTTTTCTGGCAGTGCAACTAAACTATTCTGTGTGATACTGTAATGGTTCACGCCTGGAATTATACACATTTGACAAGACCCAAAGAATGCACCACACAAAGAGTGAACTGAAATAAACAGTATATACTACCTAATAATAATATAGCAATGCTACTCCACTGACTCCAACAAATGCACAATGTGAGTATCAGGCAAAATGCTGGTGGAGGAAAGAGTACATGGGAACTCCGTACTTTGTGGTCAACTTTTCTGTAAACTAAAACACTGCTTTAAGAAAAGTAACTTAGACTCAAAATATAATAAACAACCAGTTCACACACTAATAACTTAAAAAGAACACAGAACAGTCTAAATACCATAATATGTCTTATTTTTTTAAATAAGCTTTTCTCTTTTAGCTGTTTTATGATGGTCTATTATGAATTACCAAAAGTGGTATGTGATCTCTCAGCACATGACTTATCACTAAATAGTCCCAACACACAAAAATCTTCACAGGAAGAAAAGGAGGGGAAACATTTTGGAAATAATAAAGACAAACTCTCTCTCCATCTTAAAACAACTGTCACAATCTCTTCTGTGAAGTTCTTCACTACCAACCTCTTAAACTGTACATTATGAAATATTTAAAGAGAAAATGGAAAAGGTATTTCTCTAGGAACAGGACACTGAAAAACACTCATTCTGTGAAATGATAAAATTTCCCCTCAGTTTTGCTAATAAATGTCAGTTTTCCTTTCTATACTCACCACTAATGAAACCATATGCTCACATGTAGCTACACCTGATGAGGGAGGGACCCCCTTGTGGAACACACAACTGTGCCTGCCCCCTCGCTATGCAGCTATCTCAGCTCACAAGAGCACTGACAGTTCATCAAAGTGGTTTCTCATGTCATCACACTCTCAAGGAAATCAAGATTAGCATTCTTGATTAGCATTCTAAAACTAATTCTCCCATCCATACCTCCCATCTTTGGTTATTCTTCCTAGTACACAGTTCAAAGCAAGAGTATAGGGGTCTAAAAAGATGCACAGGAAAATATATACAACAAATACATACAAAGCACCACAAACAGCAGCCATGGAAACCCTTTTACAAGTCACCTCACAGTTGAGAAATGCTGATCAAGGACTCCAAAGTGTGGTGGTGTCTATGTCCTCTATATTGGCTATTAACCATAAGTTGTTAAAATTTTAAGTGCTCTTTGAATAAGACAAGGGTCTAAAATAAACTATTTGCTGTTTAAAATTACATCTTCAGCACAGAACTGTTTTCTCCTTTCCATTTAAAAATCAGATGCATGATCTAGTACTACATACATATAAGTTAAATCAGCCCTAAATTATTAACGCCAATATGCCTGCATTAAGATGTCAATTTTCATACAACTATATTTTAATTATTTAACTCTAGATCTTACATTTGATTAAGCGTTTCTGAAATCCTATACACAGAGATCATGTGTTGTTTACCTAAACTATCCTGTTTGGATGTTACCTTCACTTAACCAGCAGCACTGCCAGTGACTATATAAAATCGCAGACCTGTTTTTCAGCATTGGTCCTGGCTGATTCCTCTTGTGCGAGCACCATTTCTCGCTCTGCAGTTATCTGTACACTTTCTCTTAGTGCTTCTTCGAGTTCTTCAATCCTGTCATCCTTCTTACGGAGACTGTCCTGGAAAATGATGGAAGACGGGTGAAGTAGACTAGTTAATTAAACCAGGGAGAGCCTATTCATCAAGAAAGGGCTATCTATTTAGACATGTTTTGCCTTTCAGAACTAAACCCGGACCAAAAAGATAATTTCCCAAAGAAAAGAATGAAGCAAGAAAAGAAGAAAGTTGAAGGAATATATTATTAAAAGCAAAGGTCACGTTAGTTAAGCAAGAAAAACTCTAGATAAACTTGATCTTTATAATAGAGAATAAAACCGTTGGTTAGGTAGCACAGGTAGCAAGGGATTGAATTATCTGAAATCACAAAGCTGTTTTTGAATGACTTTCTAAACTGGGTTTAAAGCCAGTTTGGATGATGCCTAAATAAATGGACTGAATATGAAAGCATTCTCTTTCTCTGAAAAGTAAAGGAAATAAAAAAGTTAAGCACACATCATGATCTTTTGGATTATATTCTTCATACAGACAATTTTTGACAAAGTCATTTTTAAAAATGAAGATGGTGTTTTCTCATGAATTTCAAAAAGCAATGTTCCTAGTAACATGAAAAAAACTAAAAAAAGAAAAAGAAAAAATAATAGAAATGACCTGTTTGGTTAAGGATGAAGTAATTTCATTAATTGAGCAATGCCCACTAGCTCTGATATTGTGTACCCAGCTTAAAACTAACTTTTGGGTAAGTGAATCTAGATTTCTATCAGAAAAACAAAATCCTACAAGACTTTAAGACAATATAAGATAGAAGATCTTAAAACAAGAAGGAAAAATGAAGCAAAATTTGAATAGGACAGAAAGCTGGATTCATCAAGTTTTTAATGGCAACAGAGGAAACAAGAAGACACTGAGTAATAACTTCAAAACACTGAGGGAAAGCGATTTCTGAATTCTAATTCTATATCCAAACTATCAATCAAATATAAAGGCAAATGAAAAGTCTCAAATATTTACCTGACATCACAGATTCTCTCTAAAAGCTACTAGAGATGTGTTCTATTGAGCTGAAGAAATAAACAGAAAAAAGACAAGGGGGGCTCATGGGAAAATGGGCTCTACTACAGGTATTATCATGAAGGAGATTTGATGACAACAGCGCTAGAGAGTAGTACAATTTTTAAGAGAAGATAGGAAGGCAAGGAATGATGCTACCAAGAAAAAAAACCAGATGTATAGATTAATCTGAGGCTAAAAGTTAAGATGCATTTTACAATGGAAACAATACTGGGAGCAATTATCTTTTTCAAGAAAGGAATTTGGGTAGAAAATGTTGATATATATACAAAGAACTAATAAAGCAAACAAAATTCCCAAAGGAATTATTACATCAAGAAAAAACTGTAACTATAGAAAAGGAAATGTAATCATAATATACCATGTGGATAACAGTGTGGTACTGGAACTTAAACAGACACACAGACCAATGGACTCGAGTAGAAAACCCAAGGTGAAGCCACATATACATAGACAACTAATCTTTGACAAAGGAGCAAAGAATATACAATGGAACAAGGACAGTTTGTTAAATAAACGGTGCTGGGAAAATAGGACCGCCACATACAAACAAATGAAACTAGACTACTACCTCACACCATGCACAAAAATCAACTCAAAATGGATAAAAGAACTGAAATAAGACCCGAAACCATAAAATATATAGAGGAAAATACAGGTAAACACTGTATGACATACATCTCAGTAACATCTTTAAAAACTCATCCCAAAGCAAAGTGAAGGAAAAGATAAATAGCTAGGATTACATCAAACTAAAAAGCTTCTTAGGTAAAACAAACAGATACCCTACTTACTGGAAGAAAATCTTGCACTCCATACAACTGGTAAGGGACGGATCACAACGATCTATAGAGAACTCAAACAACTCAACAAAAACAAAGTAAATAATCCAGTCAAAAAATCAGGCTCAAAAACACTTCTCCAAAGAGGAAATGCAAATGACCAACAGGTATACCAAAAATGTTCTACATCCCTCATTATCAGGGAAATGCAAATCAAAACCACAATGAGATACCACCTTACACCAGTGAGAATGGCACATGTTTTTTTTTTTTTTTTTAAAGGGAAACAACAAATGCTGATAAGGATATGGAGAAAAATAATTCTCCTCATATCTGGTGGGAATGCAAACTGGTCCAACCACTATGGAAAGCCATATGGAAGTTCCTCAACTACTAAAAATGGAGCTAAAATATGATGCAGCGGGCCCTCCCTGGTGGTGCAGTGGATTAAAGTGCAGTGCTGCAAGCGAGCTGCAGCCACCTCAATTTGAGTTTGATCCCCGGCCTTGGAGGTGACCCACACGGTGTGGCAGACCTCTCCTGCCTTGCCCCCTGGTCTCCTCAACAGTGCACTTCATCAATCTGCCTGTTCTATTTCCCACTATGTCTCTGGTGAATCCTCTCAATGCTCCTGTGCATCTGACCTGTACCCCAGTTCTGTGTGAATAATCTTTAAAAAAAAAAATACTTGATAAAAATATGATGCAGCAATTCCATTCTCATGAATCTACCCAAAAGACATAAAAACAATTCAAAAGGATGCCTGCACCCCTATGTTTATTGCAGCACTATTTACAGTAGGTAAGATATAGAAATAATCCAAATGCCCAAAAATCAAGAAGATGTAGTGTGTGTACACACACACACACACACACACACACACACACACACACAGGAATATTATTCGGCAATTAAAAATATAAATTCGTGATGTTCTCAGCTATATAGATGCAGTTAGAAGGAATTATGTTCAGTGAAATAAATCAGAAGAGAAAAGGAAAATATCAGATTATTTCATTTATAGGAAGGACACCAAATAAGGGATCAGGGGGAAAGTAATAACAATAAATAAATTAATTAATTAACAGGCAACTATAAATCGAGACATCCTGCAGAGGAAAGAGAAAGAAAGGGATCAAAATAGGGGAGGGAAGAGCACAAGGGACTATGGTGCCAGTGTATGGGTGGTTTGGTGGTGGGAGTTCTATGGAGACTACATAGAGGAATCCCCAATGTAGAGGAGTCCCCTATTCTTTGGGGACTATTACTGAGAGTAGAAAGCAAATACTGTACAAAAATGAACAATGGTGTAAAATATATATAAAAAAACTACATTAAAAATTTATACTGTTTTAGATATTATAATGTAAATCTCAATACTGCTAAGATGAAAAGATTAAGAAATCACAGTAAGAAATCAACAGAATGTGATATCTAAATAAGAAAAATCAAAAACAACAATATAAAAATGTCACTTAGAAAAGTGAGCATAAACAGAAGAAATACCAAAAGAAGCAAGACTGATTGTTATATAGGAGCAAGAGTCAAGGTTAGACAATGAGATAAAGGATTATTACTATTATTTATTATAAGCCATGTAACATTTCACTTTGTAAATTATGTAAATATATTTGTTCTATAAAAACATATAAATTTTTAAAATATTAAAAGGATAACATATACCACTAGTAAATTATTAAGATAAAGAGCTTCTGTAAATGTCTACATAGTGACTGTTTCAGATGCTGCTATGCTAGTAAGTATTAACTACCAAAGAGAGAGAAAAGATTAGGTGAATATACCTCAAGATGGCAAAAAAAAAAAAAAAAAAACACATCTTTTTGAAGGGAAATAAATATTATTTTAAAGTAATCATGCTCTTCGGGTTCTTATTCAATAGTTTGGTGAATTTCTTCATACCAATAGTTTGCATAAAAGGCTCAAAATTGTGAGAAATTCCTTAATCTTCAAGTAACTGAGAAATAGCCCACATAAGGCTTTATAAAGGGACAATATATTACATTAAGTTCTGCAACTATTATTCTAAAAATTCTTAAGAAACCTGAAGCGTAAATACCCCAACAGTCCCAGACACAACACTAAACCTAAAGCTTTCAAAATTGTCTCTCATCCTGGACTCTTTTCTGGGCAATTTTCTGTTTTTTTTTTTTTTTTTTAAATACCTACAAAAATAACAGTGGGCAGATTTTGGTGATAGAGCAAAACATAATTCTATTGACAAAGCTATTCATCTATACAACCTTTAACAGTATATTCTTTGAAGAAAGAGAAAAACCTCTAATCTGTTCAGTATCTTAACTTCTTGAATAAAAGACAGTTATCACTGTAAGAAACGACAATTATCACCAAGTTTCTTGGAATATGTATATAGACCATAAAATTCAAGTTGGTAAAGTACTGTACTACCAAAATCATAAAGCACAGCAGACTTGGTACACTTCTATTCTCAGGTCCAGGCTTGAAGAAGGACAGGATGTGCTGAAACTGCTGGAATGCTTCATAGTGGCTCAAATGAGTGACTCTAGGAGGCACAGGCTCTTTCAAAAAGTCCACCTTCACCAGGCTTCAAAATAAATCACAAAGCACGTTCAGGTTCTGGACAAATCTATACAGAACCTCTAATATCTCTATATCCTCCTATCTTTAGGATATTCCACAGGTTTGAAGAATCTGAGGCATTCATTAGAAAAAAGTAACTTTTGGAACCAAATAGAAAAGTAACTTACTGGAAACCAAATATAGACAGAGATTACAGTTAACATAAAACTGCCACACTGAAGAAAATCACTCCTGTTGCTTGTTTTATTTGCTGCTAGTTTAGAATAGTCTTAATGTTATCAGTTAAATACATCATTTGTGCTGTCTAGTATGGTAGCCATTAGTTATATGTGACTACTGAGCACTTAAAATGTGGCTAGTCCAAATTGATATGATATAAATACATTCTAAAGGTTTTTTTAAAACGTATAATAGGTCATTAATAATCTTTCTATTGATTATATGTTGAAATGATAACACTTTGGATATACTAGATTAGACAAAATACATTAGTAAATGTATTAATGTTTTTAATGAATCTATTAGAAAATTTAGAATTATGTATATGCTCACATGTGGACAGCACACTGCACCAGCTAAACAGCTTTAATATAGTATGTTTATGAACCACTGCACATATCATGCTTTGT